CAGACCCATCTGTATAACTATTATTGCTGGTTCGTCTAGTTTGCCTTCCTTTCGTGGAATTGCCTGTCCCTATTCGTATGTTTGACTTTTTACCGAATACACTTGCCGAACGGACGGCCACCCAGAAGAGAAGTGTGCTGCTGGTTAACCTCTTGATCCCAATTAGAACGTTGTGGTTAACGGCAGACACCTCTTAATTATAACCGAATGCAGGGTGGTCGTCGTTCGTATGTCGAACACGAGGCGGTGGCCATTTTAAACCATGCGAAAGACTAGCGCAGATTCTATGGAACTAAAAACTGAGACTTTTTCTGCCGAACACCACTGAAACCACAGACCGCCCTTCTCAGTCGACAAGGCATGCGAACACCGGCCATTCGGGAGTTTGGATTACACAAATGGACTTAACCCAGATAGCTATCCCATGGAGTCAATCGCATACCGAAAGACTGTAATAGACTTTGACTCCATGGCGATTGAACAGTGCGTATGGGATCTGAGCGCTATTCGCCAAGAATATGCACTCAGATCCAGGCTATCTGGGGATACGTTGCACGAAAGTAATATGTTCGGTAGTTGTGTAATTATTTATTTTCATGTGTTTTTTATGTCTTACTTAAAATGTCGATTTGCCTCTGTCCTGGGAGATAATTGAATTACTTCTCAATTATCTCCAGGGTAGAGGGGAGGAAACCGGGATGCATTATGGGAATATTTTGTGATCTTAAAGTGCCATATGTCTGTCTGTCATTACAGTCTCCCGTTTGGTCCCCTAGGGGAGTGTCCACCAAGTGGGAGAGCTGCATAAATACGGGCGGGTAGCACACAGTAAAGCCAGTTCTTGTTTTACCCTCAATGCGGAGCTTGGTCTCGTTATTGGGGGGGGATTTACTACACACGGTTAGCGACTGATTGCTGGAACCGTAAGCCGCTTGGAGGATATTTTTGTTCGGCTATTAGCCGCGATTCGTGGATTTATTGTTCGGGAGCTTGGAGCATCCGTACGGGTCCCGTTGGGGAGATTGGCGCATTCCCCTGGTTGCAGTTCGTACGGTGGAAGTATACACGAATGGAGCTTGCATTATTGCGAAAGGGGAAGCTTAACTAAACGGCGGTTTCACTCCTTTGTGCCAGGGGTGTCTTAACATGTGTCATCGACATATAAATGATAATGGAAGTCAAAGGAGCTGTAGTGCGTGTATATGGCCTTGTGGTAGCAGTGAACGTAATGTGTGGAAGATAAGCAGGCTCTTGTTTGAGGTACCCCTAACCAAGTGGGTCACAGGGGGAGGGGGTTAGAGTGTGAGGCAGGCTCACAGCCAGACCTCTACCGTTTGGAATGGCACCATTACCCACAGGATCGTAAGCAGAAAATCCCCAACTGTGTTCCCTGACTCAATGAAACACATGTGAGTAGACATTAGTTAGCTTGCAGAATAATAAAACAACTTTGAAATAGAAAAGGTAAATAAAACATAGAGGGAACAGCCCTTGACTGCTTGTGGATGTGGTGCCCAGGTTCTCAGTCATATCCCATTTTGCGTCTCCGGTTGGCATTGTTGAATGAAAAGGACTACGGTGGCCAAATCCCAGGTAGGGGCATTGTTATGACTGTCATGCTCTCTGGTGGGTGCAGGCACTCCCAGTCTGAGCTGGCTTGTTACTGCGAGTAGTGAGTGTCTCCATTGTAGGGTAGATCTCGAGAGGTCTTGGTAGAATTATAGGCCTGAGCACTCGAATACGTAGGGCATCTTGTCTCGTAGTGCAGCCATTTCTTTTATCCTGTGTGAGGGTGCAGTGAATTAGAATGCCACTGACCTCTGTAGCCAGGGCCCTAGGTGATTTCAGGAGGTGGAATATACACCATCGATCATGACCTATTTTGGCTTGTGACGGGGGAAGCAGCTAGGCGCTAAGGTGCCTCAGTGCGGCAGTCCCTTCATTGTGACCACTGCAGATACACCTCTGATTTTCTGATTGTTGCAGCTGGACCAATGATCCATTGTTGTAAGTTGTGTGGAGAAGGCTTGTTGGCTTTCTGTACATCTTGAAGTCTCTCTCAGGGTTTACACTGCCTGCTTCACTTCTATGACATCCTCTTCTGTGGCCTGGACCCTGTCAGTCACCATCTGTAGGTCAGTCTGGATCACTGCAATATCAGCTGCTTATGTCTGTCAAAAATCAGCTAAGAGGGTCTAAATGTCCTGCTTGGTTGCCAGGGTTGAGAAGTCTGGGTAGATTGGAGTTGCTTTCACGGGCCCTGTTGCTTGGGTGGAGGTTGAGCTACCTGGTGTGTGAGGGCCTGAAGTTGGCCATGTGGGCCTCCATCTTGCTCGACATGATCTCTCGGGAACTGCACGGCGAACCTGGCGATAAATTCTGAGATCGCCAGGTAGTAGTCCTGTCGTAGTGGCTTTGGTGATATCTGCCCTTGTATCCAGGTTCTGGGGTGGGCTCTGCCATTACTCGAGTCCGAGGCTTGGGGGGAGGTGGTAGGTCGCGAGCCTTCTCTTTCTCCGCTTCAGCCCGGATTACTGAAAGAACGGCATGTTCTGGGTCCGTGTGATTTTTAAACCTAGATTTGTATCTGTTTGGCATGCTACTATGATTCCCTTAGGCTTAGGAATCCATGAAAAAAAACAGTGTGTGTGTGTAAGTGTATATAGTTGCATAGTTACATAGCTGAAAAGAGACTTGCGTCCATCAAGTTCAGCCTACCTCACATTTGTTTTTTGCTGTTGATCCAAAAGAAGGCAAAAAAAACCAGTTTGAAGCACAATTTTGCAACAAGCTAGGAAAAAAATTCCTTCTTGACCCCAGAATGGCAGTCAGATTTATCCTTGGATCAAGCAGTTATTACCCTACATTGAAAGATTATATCTTTGAATATTCTGTTCTTGCAAGTATGCATCTAGTAGCCGTTTGAACATCTGTATGGACTCTGATAAAACCACTTCTTCAGGCAGAGAATTCCACATCCTGATTGTTCTTACAGTAAAAAAACCTTTCCTTTGCCTTAGACGAAATCTTCTTTCTTCCAGTCTAAACGCATGGCCTCGTGTCCTATGTAAAGTCCGGTTTGTGAATAGATTTCCACACAATGGTTTGTATTAGCCCCGAATATATTTGTATAATGTTATCATATCCCCTCTCAGGCGACGTTTTTCTAAACTAAATAGGTTTAAATTTGTTAACCTTTCTTCATAGCCGATATGTTCCATTCCTTTTATTAATTTTGTAGCCCGCCTCTGCACTTTTTCTAGTGCCATAATATCCTTCTTTAGAACAGGTGCCCAAAATTGCACAGCATATTCAATATGGGTCTTACCAGTGATTTATAAAGAGGCAAAATGATATTCTTGTCCCGAGAATGAATGCCCTTTTTCATGCATGACAATATCTTACTGGCCTTGGCCACTGCTGATTGACATTGCACATTGTTGCATAGTTTGTTGTCTATAACAATTCCCAAGTCCTTTTCGTGTGTTGTTATCCCTAATTCGCTTCCATTAAGGGTATACGTTGCTTGTGTATTCTTTACGCCGAAGTGCATAACTTTGCATTTTTCAACATTAAATTTCATCTGCCATTTGAGTGCCCAGTCCCCTAGTCTATCTAAATCCCTCTGCAGCAAAGTAATATCTTGCTCACATTGTATTGTTTTACAAAGTTTTGTGTCATCTGCAAACACTGAAACATGACTTTCAATGTGGTCTTCAAGATCATTTATAAACATGTTAAATAGAAGGGGTCCCAGAACAGACCCCTGAGGGACACCACTTGCCACCTCTGTCCAGCTTGAAAATGTACCATTAATGACAACTCTTTGTACTCTGTTTTTAAGCCAATGTTCTACCCAAGAACAAGCATTTTCATCTAGACCGATTTCCTTGAGTTTGAACACTAATCTATTGTGTGGAACTGTATCAAATGCCTTGGCAAAATCCAAATAGATCACATCCACGGCAACACCCTGATCTATACTTCTACTTACTTCTTCGTAGAACGCAATCAAGTTAATTTGACATGACCTGTGCTTCATAAAACCATGCTGATTTTTGCTGATAACCATGTTCTTCTCAAGGAATTCTTGAATTATATATATATATATATATATATATACACACACACACACACACACACATATTTCTTTGTAGTGAGGGCAATATTGCCTTGGTGGTAGCATAACACAATTTGTATACAACAGAAACATAAATAATAACACCAGTCGGTTGTGGTGTGCTGGAACCGACAATGCAGTAGGACACCTACCATCTCTCCTGACAGCTCATTGTATGCTCTGAGTGGGACACCGCCACCTCTCCTGACAGCTCATTGTATGCTCTCAGTGGGACACCTACCACCTCTCCTGACAGCTCATAGTATGCTTTGAGTGGGACACCTCCACCTCTCCTCACAGCTCATTGTATGTCCAAGTGTGACACCTCCACCTCTCCTGACAGCTCATTGTATGCTCTAAGTGGGACAACTCCACCTCTCCTGACAGCTCATTGTAAGCTTTGAGTGGGACACCTACCACCTCTCCTGACAGATCATTGAATGCTCTGAGTGGGACACCTACCCTCTAAATACAGCTCATTGTATGCTCTGAGTAGGACACCTCCATCTCTCCTGAAAGTTCATTGTATGCTCTGAGTGGGACACCTACCCTCTAAATACAGCTCATTGTATGCTCTGAGTGGGACACCTCCATCTCTCGTGACAGCTCATTGTATGCTCTGAGTGGGACACCTACCCTCTAATTACAGCGCATTTTCTTATTTACAATGTTGGCGTTCTCCAGTTTTAATTCTTACACTTACCTGCTGTATCTGTTTCAGTTAGCTACTGATTTACAGGAAAACATAGAAACATAGACCAATAACTCAGAATTTCTATAATATTCTTAAAGGCTTCTCACCGTAAAAGTAAAGTACTTTCAGGGCATCCCTTTTCATGAACAAAACACAAATTCTAACAATAGATGAAATTTAATCGCAATAGGGGACAGGTGGGCAAAAACAATTATTAAAAATAGGAGGAATCCAGTGTAGCTGCTACTATTTTTAATAATTGCTTTTGCCCACCTGTCCCCTATTGCGATTTTATTTCATCTATTGTTATAATTTGTGTTTTGTTCATGAAAAGGGATGCCCTGAAAGTACTTTACTTTTATGGTGAGAAGCCTTTAAGAATATTATAGAAATTCTGAGTTATTGGTTTGTATCCTAGTATTTGTCACATTCATTGTTTATCAAGTATTTCTGAATTCGAGCACTTTGTACACAATTACTACCTTATACTTGATACTTGTGTTTATTTGCTCCGGTCTATGTATCTTTTATACAATAAACGCATCTTTTACCATAGTAATATTGACTAAGTGTCTCTACTTGCAGCTCTAATTGACTTTAAATGTAACTATTTATTTTTGTGAATTACACAGAGTACACAAATGACAGAGCCATTGACACACACGTCAATTAATACTGGTTTAGAATAATAATATTGGAACAGGATTACTTACAAAAGTTGAATTTTCCAGAAGAGTTTTGGCCTCTTTTGTCTCCACGTTTAATCTGAAGACATAGCCTTCCCTGTCTTTATATACAAGCTCGTGATCTAAAAGAAAAACACAGATTATTTATTGATATGAACACAAACGCTCTGCAATAAACCTGCATCCTATTAGCACAGAAAACCTCACTATAATCCCAGGTGATCACACATAACATTCCCTTTAATTCACTGTAATGATGACCACATGAAGGGCCACGTATTTGCAATAAGCAAGCAGATATAGATGTAGTTATTATAATGTTAGTCTCTCACACACAGAGTTATAAACACGTCTATCTTCTGTCCGTACTCCCACCTCTGATTTCTCGAGGGCTGCACCGTTCCTGTGGAACTTACTTCCCTCCTCCGTTAGATGCTCACCCAGTCTCCACTCCTTCAAAAAATCATTAAAAACCCACTTCTTTATAAAAGCATATCAATGAAACTGTTAATAGCTCCCAAAAAGAAGAAGTTAGGCGCTCACTAAATAAACTAAAGGTGGGCAGCAGTGAACCAAGCAGGAATTCCCAATACCTGCTCACAACAGAAAGAACAAAAGTGGTAAACCGTGCCCAGATAGTGCAAACGATAATTAAAATATATACACATACAAAAAGTCCTGTGGTTAGGAATGTATAAAACCTTCAAAGCAAAAGAGTAAAGAACAATAATAGTGCAGTATGTCAAGCGAAATGAGAATATATATAAACTTATAAAGGACTCACTCACACTTTGCAGAGCTACTCAGAGCTCTGCCGTACAGCGCCTAGACGGTACAATCCCCGTCTCAGGATATCAAGTGATGGTATAATGCGGTGTCCAATCCTCCACAGTGGTATATATAGAAAAAATAAAGCTAAAATCCAATGGTATAGTATATCTATTACAAAATGAGCAAATAAAGGAACAGTATCCTACTTACAGATTTCAGAGCAAATATCTTGCTCTGGTATAGACCAGTGTTTCCCAACCCAGTCCTCAAGGCACACCTACCAGTCCAGGATTTAGGGATTACCCAGTTGTGTCTAAGGTGTTTTTACAAAGAAGAAAAAAAACACCTTAGACACAACTGGGTAATCCCTAAATCCTGAACTGGTAGGTGTGCCTTGAGGACTGGGTTGGGAAACACTGGTATAGACAGCATGTGGTGGTATAATCCCCACCAAAGGATATAGGTCAGGATTCAAGATGTATCAGGAACAGCAAATAAAGTAGTAAAAACTATAACTTTATTAACACAAAATAAAAAGATATAATAAAAAGTTAATAACAAATCTCTTACTTAACGCATTTCGCCCAATCTGGGGCTTCTTCAGAAGTAGTAAGTCCAAAATGAATAACGTCCTCTTTATATAGGCGTTCCCGATTACTGTAATTCTATCTTGATGTGATTTTACTTCCTACTTCCGGGTCGCGTGTGTCGCCCGAAAGTGACGTAAGCGCATCTTCTCGCAGCCTACTGGGATATGTAGTATTCCTCCATTCATGCTCCCGGTATCTCCTAGTGGTTGATGGGACATGTAGTATACACTGTCCACTGTCCCACAAACATAGTTTCGTCACCCGGAAGTGACGTATCGCAATCTATTGTAGTTCATGGGAATTGTAGTTCGGCAAATTGCCGATATAGGATACAGTGCATATATAAATAAAATGAAAAATAGTTATATAATTGGCAAAATGTTAAAATACAGATATTAAAAAGGGAATATAAATATGAAAAACATATATGGCAAAAGACAAATAAGACATGTGCTTGTTTTAAAAATAGCCAACATCTTATAAGCACTAGCATTTTTAAGCCATCATAGAGTTATGCACAAAAAATATGGATTTATACAAAGTATTACATAACAGAAAATAAACATGCATATAAGTCTGTGGAGAATAACTAATATTGTAAAAAGTGCTATGCACAAAGTGAACCATGCACATATATTGGAAATCTTTAAGTGGTACACAGGGGAGGTGGTGTATCAACAATAAAAATAATATATAAATATACATAATGGTTAAAATCTGATATAAAGAATTCCTTTTAATATTTATTATAAAAAATTAAAAAGATCAAACTCTGCATTGAGACCTTTGGGGTGTAGTGTGTCTAAAAAATAGACCCACTCCATTTCTTTCTTGCCCAATTTATTAATTATATCACCACATCTCCAATGTTGGGACAATTTTGAAATGCCCATAAATTTTAGGTGCCGTGGGTCATTATTATGTAACTCAAAATGTGAGGACACTAAATGAGTTTTCAGCCCTTTTTCTATATTTCTGCAATGTTCCCCAATCCTAGTCTTCAGCGGCCTTATAGTTCTCCCTATATATTGAAGTCCGCATGGACATTCTAATAAATATATCACGTTTTTACTCATACATGTAATTGTATTTTTAATACTGTAACTTTTATCTGTATTATTTGATTTAAAATTATATGTATATCGATCAATTTTTTTTTTGTTTTTTTGCAAGCTACACAACAGTTACATCTAAAAGATAAGAGAAGAACAGATAAATTTTATAATCGAAGGAATCTATTTAATTCTCAATAACAACTATGTTTGGTTTAAAGACTCGTTCTACCTACAAAAAAATGGCACAGCGATGGGGACCAGGTTCGCACCCAGCTATGCCATTCTCTTCATGACCGAGTGGGAAGAAAGAATGGTGTGGAGCGGGCATGGCTGGGTGGGGAACCTGGTGGCCTATTTTCGTTACATAGACAATCTCCTTTTTATATGGAAAGGTCCACTTTCTGCAGCTAAACTTTTTTTAGAATTTTTAAATGAAAACAATGATGGTATCGTTTTAAAAGCAGATTTTAGTCAGACCAATGTTACCTTTTTAGACTTGGATATTTATATTAAGGATAAGAGATTAAATACGAAAACTCACTTTAAACCGGTTCATGTAAATAATTTTATTGGAACAGATAGCTGTCATTATAGGAGCTGGCTTGACAGCATTCCTACAAGTCAATTCCTTAGATTGAAGAGAAATTGCTCTGACGCTAATACTTTTAAAATTCAGGCAAATATGTTATTATTTATATAGCGCCAACAAATTCCGCAGCGCTTTACAATGGGTGGATGAACAGACATGTAGTTGTAACCAGACAAGTTGGACACACAGTAACAGAGGGATTGAGGGCCTGCTCAGTGAGTTTACATGTTAGAGGGAGTGGGGTATAGTGACAGTAACAGAGGGATTGAGGGCCTTCTCAGTGAGTTTACATGTTAGAGGGAGTGGGGTATAGTGACACAGTAACAGAGGGATTGAGGCCCTGCTCAGTGAGTTTACATGTTAGAGGGAGTGGGGTATAGTGACACAGTAACAGAGGGATTGAGGGTCCTGCTCAGTGAGTTTACATGTTAGAGGGAGTGGGGTATATTGACACAGTAACAGAGGGATTGAGGGTCCTGCTCAGTGAGTTTACATGTTAGTGGGAGTGGGGTATAGTGACACAGTAACAGAGGGATTGAGGGCCTGCTCAGTGAGTTTACATGTTAGAGGGAGTGGGGTATAGTGACACGGTAACAGAGGGATTGAGGGCCCTGCTCAGTGAGTTTACATGTTAGAGGGAGTGGGGTATAGTGACACAGTAACAGAGGGATTGAGGGCCCTGCTCAGTGAGTTTACATGTTAGAGGGAGTGGGGTATAGTGACACAGTAACAGAGGGATTGAGGGCCTGCTCAGTGAGTTTACATGTTAGAGGAGTGGGGTATAGTGACACAGTAACAGAGGGATTGAGGGCCTGCTCAGTGAGTTTACATGTTAGAGGGAGTGGGGTATAGTGACACAGTAACAGAGGGATTGAGGGCCCCGCTCAGTGAGTTTACATGTTAGAGGGAGTGGGGTATAGTGACACAGTAACAGAGGGATTGAGGGCCCTGCTCAGTGAGTTTACATGTTAGAGGGAGTGGGGTATAGTGACACAGTAACAGAGGGATTGAGGGCCTGCTCAGTGAGTTTACATGTTAGAGGGAGTGGGGTATAGTGACACAGTAACAGAGGGATTGAGGGTCCTGCTCAGTGAGTTTACATGTAAGAGGGAGTGGGGTATAGTGACACAGTAACAGAGGGATTGAGGGCCTGCTCAGTGAGTTTACATGTTAGAAGGAGTGGGGTATAGTGACACAGTAACAGAGGGATTGAGGCCCTGCTTAGTGAGTTTACATGTTAGAGGGAGTGGGGTATAGTGACACAGTAACAGAGGGATTGAGGGCCTGCTCAGTGAGTTTACATGGTAGAGGGAGTGGGGTATAGTGACACAGTAACAGAGGGATTGAGGGCCCTGCTCAGTGAGTTTACATGTTAGAGGGAGTGGGGTATAGTGGCACAGTAACAGGGATTGAGGGTCTGCTCAGTGAGTTTACATGTTAGAGGGAGTGGGGTATAGTGACACAGTAACAGAGGGATTGAGGGCCTGCTCAGTGAGTTTACATGTTAGAGGGAGTGGGGTATAGTGACACAGTAACAGAGGGATTGAGGGCCTGCTCAGTGAGTTTACATGTAAGAGGGAGTGGGGTTTAGTGACACAGTA